ACACGCAAGCGGTTCTTGGGCCTTCAATTTTCGGTCTCCGTTGCTGGAGGAGAGAATGGGTAGAGCTTTCCATATTCGCTGCCGCGCCAATCGTCACGCGTGGAGAGGCACCGCCCGTGACATAATTGAGGCCAGCTAGGTCAGGCATGATCACAGTCGTAAAAAATACAAGTAAGTAAGCTTGTTAATGTTTAAAGCCACTACTGCTAGCGCGTCGTCGAAAGTAAAGTATCCGTGATGAGTTCGGAAGACGCCATTGCAGCGGCTTACTGCTCATGTGCCCTTTGTAGCACCTAGCACTTTTGCAAGGTCCAAATCCGTAAGTGTGAGACGATGATTACGTTAGGCATTACGCCCGATCTCTTCCCTAGTCGATGACATGAAGAAATAGGCTTCCTCGGCTGGATTTCAGACAGTAGTCAACCATGCCCCAATGAGTGGAATTCCGGGATGAAGAGCTATGCATTGGTGGGGTAGTTTCCCGACCAGAAGGCAGTCGGAGATTGTTGCATAAATGGTGGCGGCCTTATCAATTTACTCCTGGCACCTCTGGGAGCTATATGGTCACGCAAACACAGAAAGTACCGCACCGTACATCGGCCCAAGCATCTAGGTTGGCAAGCTGTCAGCTGCCTGTTTAACAAAACACTTTGAGATAAGATAATAAAACAATCATTCGTCATCTTAGAATCAACTATTGGGTTTCCGCATGTATTCCGAAGCAGGGGATAATGCGTTTGTCTGTTCTTTTTGGGCGATAAAAACCTTCGCAACGCTTAGCGAGAGTTTCCGGCAACTTTTTTCAACCCATAGAGCAGACGTCAAATTAAGCCTACAATACGGCGGACCTACGTTAAAAGAGATGTTCACCCTCGTGATAATTCGAACTTTAGAGACGTGCGCTGTAAGACCACGCGCTCCGTACAGTACAACTGCACAGAACGCCAGGGCCAACTTGCTCGTGAACTTAAATGCGCATCAGGTGACAGTGATGATCAGAAAGTGCGCCAGATTTTAAAGAGACGCCAGCCTGATAATCTCTGTCACAACAGGCGGGGACAAACAAGGTGTGATTACAGCGTCCAGGTCGCACATGAAGGCGAATTTTTATGCTTTAAACTGTATAGGCTCGCTCTCCTCAACAGCAGTGTAATGTAGAGACGCCGTGGTGAACCACTCAAAGAGACTGCAGCCCGTTATCTATGAACATGCTCTACTGTCGCAGAAGAACGGCTAAAGCGATGGATGAAACAGATGCCGATTTCTCTAAGATCAGATCTACTGTCTTCTATGGCTGTTTTCATTTCTCTATAGCCCTGATGGACTGTTAAATGGACTGAGTCTCTTGACCTATATTTACGGACGACCCTGCTGCTTAAGTGGGCTTCGGTCAACACAATAGGGACCTGGAGCAGCTGATGACGTCATGGTGCTGGCAAACAATTTTGCGGGAATGCAATAAGCTGTGGCCAGGATAGGCGAAGTTATAACTTAAAACTGATAAGAAAATCCTCACACAAACTTGATTGCCTCGGATGGGTCCAGTCAGGATATACGATGAAACCCTGTGTTTTATGGGGAGTTCTTACTGCGTGAGGTT